TGTTCACCTTTCTCCTGAGGAGCAGCTGTTGGTTTTGAACCATCTGCTTTTGGGTTGGCAAAGCAATTCCTCAGCCACTAGACCACCAGAACTCCCTTTGGGAAGTAGTATGTTTATCTAATGAAAAGTTGTTAGCAGATTCACCTTCCCTTTCATGATAAATTCTTTTGGGTGAGCGAGCATACTGCTTACTCGAGGGAGCTCTGATGCTCCCTGAAGCTGCACTGCTGTCCCAGAGCCACGTGGTCCAAATCCACCAGCTGCTCTGTGAGAGAAGGATAGACAGTCCCCCTTTGTCATCTGCTGTCTCTGAAAACCCGCTGAAAGATCAGCTATGTATTGGTTCTGATTCACTGTCACACCACAACAAAACCACCTATTGACTTGAGCAGAAATCTTATTTGGATAGAATTTCAAAGACATTTGCCAAATATTTTGTACTTTCACATGCCCTATTTATTAATTTCATTTCAATTCAATGACATTTATGAACTTTCCTTTCTGAGTAAATTACACTTGAATAAGGTCACAGTTTTGTGGGGAAAGATGGACGAACACCAGTATGTGATACAGCATGCCAGCATTCTTTTGAAGGAAAGTGCATTGTTTGTAGAGAGCTCTGGTGGTCTAGTGGCAAGGAGTTGTACTGCCAACCCAAAGGCAGGCTGTTCAAATCCACCAGCTGCTCCATAGGAGAATTATGAGACTCTGAAAATTTGCTGGAGGCTAAGCTCTGAATTGGTTTTAACTTGCTTGCACATAATAACAACAACAGCAGCAACATACTGTTTGTGTGAACTAGTTATTATTGTTCCTCATCTGCTCAACAAATAGCTTCTGTGATAATTTTATTATTTATGCACAAGAAAACAAAATCTCAGAGTGCTTTGTCTTCAGGCTGTTGCCACCACTGAACCCTTAGCTCTTTGCCCCCATTCTTTGCTTCCAGCATCACTCCAGGGTCCACTATCTCTGAGCCCGCCAATTTGTGCTCACTTCCTGGACTCAGTGCAGCCATGTGGTTTTCATAGTCATCCATCCATCCATCCATCCATCCATCCATCCATCCATCCATCCATCCATCCACCTATCCATTCAGTTAGCCAAGCATAGCATTTATTGAACACCTATTATTAGCTTCCTGGGCTAAAGTCTTGGTTATCTGCTTCCATAAAGATTGCAGCCATGAAGACTTGGAGGAGCAGTTCTATTGTACCCCAGAGTTACTATGAGTTGAAAATGGATTATGGTGTTCACAAACAAGCACTTGAAATTATCCAGCAGAAGAGAATGACTTAAGACCAGTTGCTTTACCAGACATGTGGCCTGCTCTGAAGCCACTTGAGACATCAGTTTCTCTACCTCTCAGGGATGTTTGGAGTCTGCTGTCTCTGAGGAGATTTGTTGCTGAGTGGAGCGTTAACAAGAATCCACTGCAAAGTGCATAGCAGAGTGGCAATCAGGAAAACAAGAAGCTTTGGTGCAAAAAAGTATTAGGAAAATATAGCCCTATCAGTATTTGAGAGAGAAAAATCAAGAAGTCAAAATCTTTACCACTGGACCACTGCAACATCATGATTAAGGGAAAGAAGATTGGAGTTGTCAATTATTTCATCTTGTTTGGATCCACAATCAACACCCTTGGCACCAGCAGTCAAGAAATCAAAAGATGTATGAGATAAATCTCCTGACAGGGACCTCTCTAAAGTGCTAAGGAGCATTGATGTTGGCTTAAAGACTAAGACACATCTAATTAAAGCCATCTTCTTGTCAATTACTTCTTATGCATATGGAAGTTGGACAATGACAGAAGAATAATTAGTATCTTTGAACTGTGGTGTTGGAGAAGAGTGCTGAATATTCCATAGGCTGCCAAGAGAACAAATATGCCTTGGAGAAAGTGCAAGCAGAGTGATCCTTAGAGGCAAGAATTAATAGTGAAGCTTCATCTCACATATTTTGGGCATGTTGTTAGGAAGGGCCAGTACTCGGAAAATGGGCTCAAGTGCATCAGAGTTGATAAAGATGGCATAGGATCGGTGTGGTTCACATCAGTTGTTTATAGGGTTGCTGAGTTGTGGTCAACTCGATGGCACCTAACAATAGCAGCAGTTTGGGCCACATAAATAAATGTTGGGGGATTCCAGAGAGAAATTCCTAATATTCACATGGAAGGACAAGACTTTATTTTTAAATCTCTATCTCATATTGGTTTGCTCATGAAGTTTGTATACATTGTGTTTCACACTATTCTTCATTCATACTATATTTCGTACAATCATTCCCAGCATTATGTTTTAGAAAATCAATCACCACTGCATGTTGCCCATCGTTACCTAATCTTTTCAGGTCCCTGCTGGATCCTTCCCATTTCCTTCACTCTCTCCCTCCACCCACCAAACTGTGCAACCCTGTGGTTTTGCCCCTATCCACCCATACCCCTCTGCTCCCACCCCTTCCCAAGATTTTAAAGTGGAACTTCCTATCTGCCGGTGCTGCCAGGTGAGTATGGGATCTGTGGGTTGTTGAATAAGGCCGAGCAGACCTATAGAACAAATAGAGGGGCTCTTTGAAGGGGTCTCCACCTGCTTCTAGAGTTCTTATAGCAAATGTCTGTGCTGCTTCAAAGGGATCACACACCATCATCTCAGAGCGGAGTGAGGCTAAATGAAGCGACTCCCTTCTGAGCAATCTCCACCTACGTGATTTACTGCCTGTTCCTCTTGTGTGATTTACAGCCTCTGAAAACCTGCTGGAAGTTTAGTTCTGGGTCAGTTCTGACTCAATGGTACAGAACAATAAACACGCTTATCAGGAGCTCTGGTGGCCTAGTAGAAAAAAGCTGCTCTGCAATCCAGATCTTTCCCATTTACTTTAACCATCCCCTCTCCACCCATCAAATTGTGCAGTCCTGTAATTAACCCCCCCTGCCCATCCTCATCCCTCTGCTACCCCCTCATACCTGTAGATCCTCATACCTAGTCTACAATGATGGTCTTATACAGTATTTGCCCTTATGGGACTGGGTTAGTGCATTTAGCGTAATGATCTCCAGTTCTCCCAAGTTAAGTAATAATTTATAAAATCATTGCTCCTGCGTGCTGCGTAGTATTCCAGTGTGTGAATTCAATTCTTTCTTTTGAAATAAATACACGAAATGGTTTCATAATGAAAAGAGCAGAAGACTATGACTGAGAGCAGTGGTTCTCCAAGTGTGCTTTGAGGTCCCTAGGAGACCCCCAGGCTTTTCAGGATGTCCTTTTTGCCCTTCACAATATAGCTATTTATTCCCAGATTTTCCTTACATACTCCAATTAAAGTCTGATTTTGCCCCAGATTCACTGTAGAAGCAGGTGTAAGAATCCAGTGGATTTCTATTAACCCTATTTAAAGTGATTTTGGGGGGAAATTCTCCAATTAATGCCAGTATACTCACTAAACATACCATTGCATGGATCATCAAACAAGTTTTAGAGAGGGTGAAATCAAGTTTCTCCTTGGAGGCTAGGGTTTTGAAGCTCTGTCTTACGTACTTTGGACACGTAGCCAGGAAGGATTGGTTTTTAGAGAACAACATCATGCTCTGAAGGGCGGAGGGATAGTGCAGGAGAGGAAGACTCCAGATGAGATGGATTGACACAGTGACTGGGGTAATGGGGGTAAGTGTTTTGAAGTAAGTGAAACTGGCTCAGGACAGGGCAGGCTTCAGAGGTGTTGTACATAGAGTTGCTATGATCGCAGGCAACTCGATAGCACATAACAACAACAATGTAAGTAATTTTCACACAAAAATGATTGATGATAACATGTAACGGGTTCCTTGTTATTTTAAATTAATTGATTGTTGTTGTTATGTGCTATCGAGTCACATACGACCCCTAGTGACCGTATGTTCAACAGTCCTGAAATTGGCTCTGTCCTGTGCCAACGTTACTGTCTCTGACACACCTGCCCTCATTACCCCAGTCACTACATCAATCCATCCCATTGATCGTCTCCCTCTCTTTCTCATCTCTCCACTCACCAAAACCTTTTGCTATTGAATTAGTTCTGACTAGCATAGACCACAGGGTCCAAAATTTAAGCTACATACATTTTAAAGGACGGGAGTAGATTAGACTGCAAAGAATCCTGGATGTTAAGCATAGGAAGTGCTTCATGGATCACGAGTTGGAGGAGAAAGACAGACAGAAGTCTCAAAGTCCCAGGGCATCTCTTTCATGTTTTTTCACGATCTTAGTCTTTGAGTAGACCATGGCTACCACACTTAGCAGCTACCATACTTAGCAGCTACCATACTTAGCTTGGCTACCGTACTTTTTACATTGATAGTCAAAAGACTGAGAATTCAGGTTCACCCAGAGGAGCCTTAGAAGCAGAGCTCTGCTCTCCACTGTTAAAGATGCAGCCATTGGAAACTATGGAGCACAGTTGTACTTGGACACCCACAGGGTCACTCTGAGTCAGAAGCTACTTGATTACAATGGGAATCATGTGAAAAAGAAGGCTGAGCATGAATAAGAAAATTAATAAGAGGAGGAGCTATTCAGCAAAAAGAACAGTGGAGGTGATCCAGGGAAGGAGGAATTACCACTTCTCCTTCAGCTCTTGAGGTCTTAATACCGCAGTTATGACCGCTCCATTGACTAGAGGTCACAACTCTTGACCCTCAAGGCTCTTGATTACTGTTGCTTGACACTGGAATTCTCTCAATGCACAAAATGTAGGTGGCTGAAATTCAAGGTTATATAATCAAGGTGCGAAGATGACAATGATAAATATATAGATCTGATGGACACAGAGAAATGATTTTGTCTTTTAACACAATAAAGGAGAGAGGCTGCATGCAGGTGACAATCCCAGTAGTCAGATGGCTTTTGAGAGAGGGCTTCTGGCTCCATGTGTTTGTTGCCTTGAGAATGAGCATTGTCACATAGAGGTGATCGAAGCTGTGGACAGATGAGGTGATTTTAATAACTGTATCTCATTTCCTTTGTCAGCTTTTCCATGTGGCCTATGTCTTAATCAAATTTGCAAATTCTCCTCGCCCTGACCTTTGGGTCTTGGAAAGATCTGTGGACTTTGGAAGCACGTATTCTCCTTGGCAGTATTTTGCTCGTGAGTAATCGTATCTACCAGGTTCTGAGGGGTTTTATTTATTCCCGGTAGGACAAGACTTTGGTGTCTCAATAGAAAATGAGTCTCTCAGTGCTGTCAGTGTTGCTATCTAGGGAGATCTGGTGACCTAGTGGTGAGAAACTGCATTGCAATCCCAAAGGCACATGGTTTGAATCCACCAGCTGCTCCATGGAAGAAGGATGGACACTCTCTTCTTGTGTTGTTTACTGCTCCTGAAAACCCACGGGAGGGTCAGCTATGGGTTGGTTCTGACTCAACAGCACACAACAACAATAGGAATATTAATATTTAATTTTTTCATTTGCTCTCAGAATAGACTAGTTTTAAAGTGTATGGTACGGATATGTATTCTAAGGATGTTGTAGTGTCAGAACCAGCCCATAGCTGACCCTCCAGCAGGTTTTCGGAACCAGTTAATCGCACAGGAGGTGATTGTCCATCCTTGTCCTGCTGAGTGGCTGGTGGCCTTGAACCGTGTGGCTTTGGGATTGCAGCACAGCTTCTTGCCACTAGATACTACAGACAAAACTGTTGTGGAAATGCCTTTATGATGGATTCTTGTACTATTTGGAGCAAGAACAGCATTCTTATAAAAGGGTTATACCTCTAGTCCTTTGGTTTTTAATGTAAAAATAGGAACTGAAGTCTGTCTTTATGTATCTAACATTGTGATACCTGGATCTGTTTATTTTTATTAATGAAAAATATCAACCCTCTGATGAATTGAGGTGGTTTTGCTTACCAAGGGATTGAATTAACCATGAAACACCTCAGAGGGTCAAATTACTTAATGTAGTATAAAGACCCAGGATCTCATCTCCAAATACTGTTATTGAATATTTTTTCTTTTATGAATGAATGAAAAAAAACTTCATCCCAAGTCTTAAATGTTTCTCAGTTCTTCCTCTCCCTTCCCCCACAAAGAGACATTAAGACTTTTAAAGAGATTGGCAACAAGGTGATATCATTATTTTCCAGTATGAAAATATTTTCTTCCTAGATTCTAGACGGGACTGCTTGGAAGAATTTGGGCAAGAGGCAAATACGGCGATCACGCGGGACGATGATGTCCTTTGTGTTACTGAGTATTCTCGAATCGTCCCTTTGGAAAATGGCGAGGTGAGATTTTCGGGGTTGTGGGAGCTCTGACTTTAGAAGTGAACGTGGATACCTAACAGGTCAAGATGGAAACCAGAGCTGAGGACTGCGTGCTACAAATCCAGGCTGTGATCCAAACTGGGAGCTCTGTTTAGGATCTTGACTTTTCCCGAGAGGTCAGGATTTGGGATTGAAGGCCTTTGGGTCTTAAATTCTCCTTTCTGGTGGTAAATGTAGCATCAGGGTCATTGAAGGTTGTGGGGATGACCCCTCCACCTCTTCACAAACACATTATCACATTATCTCCTGTAGCTGTGAGGAGTTGAGGGGCAGGTAGCTAGCTCCCTGATCCCATTTGGTGAGAAGAGTGCTGTCTATTGGGAAAAAAACAATTTCTAAGGAGAAAAAAAGATGGGAGTAGCATTTGACTCCTGTGAAGTGAGCCAGACTATTGTTAGAGAAGATGAGAACACAGAGGTGGGGAAAATCAAGCCATAATTCAAGAGAAATTGTGAGGCCAAGATGAACAGGGACTGAATTTGAAATAAACTTCCTTAAAGGAGCCAGTCTCCATTTCTTTAAGCAGAAGGCTCTTTCTTTAGCTGCTCGACCCAGTATCTTTTGATGTTTGATGAGTAGTTCTTGTTTCACAGGATGGTGACTTGTGCTTCTTCAGATCAGGCTTTGAAAACAAAACATGTTTGTGTTTAGATGATTTTATATTCATCATTGTTGACTTTATAGCCAGAGCCTCATTTTCTTAACCTCAATTAAATTATTAGCTTTGTTTTCTTAGATATAGTGTCACCAGTTTGTTTCTTCAAATCTGTGGATTTTACCAGGAGCTTTTCAGTATTTCATAGCTGATACAGATTCTGTCAACTACACAACAAAGAATAAAGGGTTTGAAAACAAACTGATAACATCTCTAGGAGCCCAGATATCGTGGACATGTTGCCAGACTTTCTAAGTAGGAAGACAAGGGAAGACAGAACTGGTAGTGATAGTTTTTAGACCTAAAAAAGAACCAAGACCACCTACAAACATCTAATGGCTCAAAGAAACCAAATGCTTTAGGGCACGTGAGTTATTTTTATTTACTTCAGCTGAATTTTGATGAAAGGAATTTCTTCCCCCCTCCCCCCCCACAATGTATGTGTGATTATTTCAGGTTGTGGTATCTCTGATAAATGGCCGGCCAGGTGCGAAAAATTTTACTTTCTCTCAAACCCTGAGGGAGTTTACCCGAGCAACCAACATCCGCCTGCGTTTTCTCAGAACCAACACCCTTCTGGGCCATCTCATCTCCAAAGCGCAGCGAGATCCCACCGTCACGCGGCGTGTGAGTAGTTCTTGTCGGGGCCAGAGAACAACATTACCTACTGCTTTTGTTTACCAAGCTAATTGCCTTTAGCTCTTTCATGTAACTTTTATTGCCAGTAATGATGTAGGCATAGCACTTGTTTTTGTCTGAAGTATTAGATACAATTAAGAGTTTGGTTGTTTGAGGAAGTTCATTATACATTACAAAGATAAGAAAGCAGAGGAGCATAGCCAGCCTGGGTGAGCCTTCATCTGGCTTACTGTTGACTATGACTCATAGCGAACCTCATACAATTAGGACCATCGTCAAGACCTCATCCATGCTTGTGGCCACTGTTACAGTCACTGTGTCGATCTGTCGTCTTGAGCATTGTCTCTTTTTCTGAGCCTCACCATCATCTGGGTGGTATGTTAATAATAATCTGGGTAGGCTAACTGCCGTTTTAATACCAAGTCCCAGTGTCTTAGCAAAATGAAGGCTTATTTGTCACTTATGCCCCAGGCTCTGTGGGTCAGCAGGTAGATATGCTTCATACAGGTGTTTGGGGATTCATCCTGTAGGGTCCCAGAATTCTCCTCTGGATTCCCCGCCTCTGGTCATCAGCTGAGGGGAGAGCGAGGGCACCACACTGAGATCATCACTTCCAATGGCAAAGATTGATCATGTACTCCCACCTAGACCCAAGGAGTCTGGGTGATGTAATCTAGTTCTGTGCGCAAGAACCACAGAGAAGAACGTTGCTATTAGTAGCGTGAGTAGCTACAGGGAGCTCTGGTGGTGTATCGATAGGTTGTTGTGCTGCTACCCCTAAGGGCACACCTCTCGACAACTTGTAGAGTTTGGCCTTTTGTGTAGATAGTATCAGAGAGCTGGGAAAGGAAGGAAAAGAGAAAAAAAAACACACCCTAATTTTGCTTCAGTTTTTAGTGATTTGAAGAAAGAAGCTAGGTGCCTTGGGTAGCACTGGTGTCTTTTGTACTGCTTTGCCTTTGCTGAGATGCGTATTTGGAGACCACGCTGAATTCTAAAAAAAAGGGGGGGGGGAAATTACTGTCATCCTGTCAGAAATGACTCATAGCTGCGCTCCATCCAGTTTTCAGAGACTGTAAATAACATGGAAGAAGATTGACCATTTTTTTTTCTCCTGAAGAGCACCTGGTGAATTTGGACCACCAGAGAGGTGGCATCTTTGGATTTAAAAAAACAAACTCTGTATGGGCTACACATTAGTGTTCACCATGCCGCATTAGAGGATGGGTATTTATAAGCAAGAGCAGGGCTTTCTGGTAAAGCTGGTTCCTGTTTCTTCCAGGAACCATTGCCTCAGCTGTACTTTAGGATCTTTTGTTTTGATGGTCTTCTTTGAGGTTGTAGGATTTATGGTCATCTCAATGGATCTTTTTCATTTAAGTAAAACATTGTTGTTGTTGTTTGTATACCACTAAGTCATAACCAACCCATAGTTTGACCCGCCAGTGGGTTTTCAGAGGCAGTTATTTGCACAGGAGGAGACTGCCCATCCTTCTCCCAAGGAGTAGCTGGTGGATTCAAATTGTGTGCCTTCAGGATTGCAGTGCAGCTTCTTGTCACTAGGCCACCAGGGCTCCCTAGGCAAGACACAGTCTCCTTTATTAAGTGGTTATGTTTTATAAAGTAAACCTTGGTTATGAAATTGAGGAGGACCTAAAGCACTTGCTGCAGAGGGTCAATGACTATAGCCTTCAATATAGATTGAAGCTTAACATCAAGAAGACAGAGATTCTCACTGCTGGGCCAGTTGACAGCACCATGATGGATGGAGAAGAGATTGAGGTTGTTAACAGTTACAGCTTGCCCAGCTCCACAGTCAACACTCTTGGCACCAGCAGTCAGGAAATCAAAGGCAAATTGCCTTAGGAAAATCTGCTGTCAGGACCTTTCTAGAGTACTGAGAAGCAACAATGTCTATTTAGAGACTAAGGTGCACTTGATTCAGTCTATAGTCTTTACAATTACTTGCTATGCATCAGAAAGTGGATAATGACTAAGGATGATAAAAGAAGATTTGATGCCATTGAGTTGTGTTGCTGGAGAAGCATCTTGAATATACCATGGGCCACAAAGAAAACAAATAGGTCTGTCTTGGAGAGAATGAAACCAAGTTCCTCCTTGGAGACTAGGATGATGAAGCTCCCTCTCACATACTTTGGACGTGTGGCCAGGAGGGACCAATCCTTGGAGAAGGACATCATGCTCGGAAGGGTGGAGGGATGACGCGCAAGAAGATGACCCTGGACAAGATGGAGTGATACAGTAACTAGGGCACTGGAGAGTAGGTGTACTGGAGTCAGTGGGATTGGCTCATGGCAGGGCAGGCTTCAGAGCTATTGTACATAGATAGGGTGGCTATGAATCACAGACAACTTGATGGCACACAACAAGAACAACAACAACATACCTTCTATTATCTTGGTTCTTCAAAATCTTGTTAGTTGTCATTAAGGTGTCATTGACTCAAGTATGACTTATAATGACCCCATAAACTATGGAATCTGAACCCCTGTCCTAGCCTGTGCCATCTTAACACTTCCTGATAGATTAGAGTCCACCGCAGCAGTCACTGTGTCAATCCACCTAGTTGAGGGTCTTCTTCTCCTTCAATGACCCTCTAACTTTCAGAGCCTTTCCCCTGTTTTCTTAAAAATGTAGGCTATGTCTTTAAGCAGAGGAATATAGTACTAGGTAGCCCATCATGCTGCCCATGGAGGCATGTGAGTTGCTATGATGCTGGACAAGATCCATTGATACTTTCAGCCTGAGGTAGACTAGGAAGAAAACTCTGGCATTCTACTTCTAAATATGAGCCTTGGAAAACCAAGTGGATCATAGTACTCCAGCAGATGGTCAAGTGTGGGGCCAACACAGGATCAAGCAGCATTGCATTGCATCGTGTGTGAGGGGTTGCCATATGCTGGGACAAACTCAGCAGCAGTTAACAGTAACAATGACATTCCCGTCCTGCAAATCAAGTGTGTGGCTGGGGTAAAGGCCAGCCTTGTCCCTTTTTCTCCTCTTACTGCAACTCTTAAACCCCGAGGAGACATCTCTGTGGTGGTCAGCACAAAAACCTCTGAGGGGTAATTTGTCATGAGAAGCCCCATTAGTATGGAATCAGTTCAGAATGAATAAAAAGTGTTATTAAGACCTCCAGACAAAATAATGTTACCAGGAAGTGTTGACACATTAACAGTTTTTATTAGGAATCCACCACAGAATTTAATGTGTAATGAATACAATTCTTTTGGTTGAATACATTCAACAACAACAATACAAAAGGCTTCTTATCCTCTGAATCCAAAAACTTCCTCGCTGACAGATATTAATCTCACTGGCAATGCGACCCAATGACAGATTGCTCACAGCCCCACATTCTTGCAGATTCCGTGCTGTCTTCTGCCACATCTGAGAAGCAGCAGAGCTGGTGGAATGTGCCATCTGTGTGGCTGAAGAGAGCTGCTGACATACTGAAGATGTGCCCTGTGAGGGAGACGGCAGGCAGATCCTTGTATCTAGACAAGGGGCTGACTCTTGGCTGGGCTTTCAGTGAAACTTTCTCTCACATACTTCAGGCATGTTGTTAGGAGGACCAATCCTTGTAGAAGGACATCGTGCTTGGAAAGGTGAAGGGTTAGTGAAAGCGAAGAAAATCCTCAACAGTGACTACAGCAGCGGCCTCAAGTGTTTTGGAGGTGGTGAGGATGGCACCGGATAGGACAGGGTTCAAATCCATTGTTCATAGGTCGTTATGGGTCACAGTTGACTCCATGGCACTTAACAACAACAACAGCAACAGCTAGTCTTGGTGGAACTTGAATCTCTGACTTTGATCTTTTTCACAGAGCTAATAAGGCTGCTCTGGTGGTGTAGTGCTAAGAACCTGCACTGCAATCCTAAAGACACACGGTTCAAATCCACCAGATGCTCTTGGGGAGAAGGATGGGCAGTCATTTTCTGTGCACCTAATGGCCTCTGAAAACCCTGGAGAGTCAGCTTTGAGTTGGTTCTGACTCGAAAGTACTCAACAACAACAGCAGCAACAACAACAACCGCAAGTGAGGTTACCAGCACTGCTTGTTACCTGGCCAGTTTCTGGGCTCTATCTGACTTAATTTTGTAAATAGCTTCTTCCTTTCCCAGAGCCACCAAAACCAGTTGCTGTCGAGAAAAAGGCAAACTTACAGAGTAGAACTGTGCTGTGCAGGGCTTCGGTGGCTGGCACTTTTGGGGGGCATATTGCTAGGCCTTTTCCCCATGACATCTTTCAGTGAATTCATCCAATCAAACATGTCATTAATAGCTGAGTACTTACTACTTTGCCTCACCCAAACACTTATTTGTGCATTAAAAAAAAAAGTCATGAAAGCTGGACAATGACTAGGGATAAAAGAAGAATTGATGCCTTTGAGCTTTGGTGCTGGAGAAGAGTTGAATATACAATGGACTGCTAGGAGAACAAACAAGTTCATCCTAGGGAGGATGAGACCAGGCTGCTCCTTGAAGGCAAGGATTCGGAAGCTTTGTCTGACGTACTTCAGGATGTCACAAGGAGGAACCGGTCTTAGAGAGGGACATCATGCTTGTGAGGGTGGAGGGAAAACCCAAGAAAGGAAAACCCTCAATGAGATGGATTGACTTAGTGACTGGGATAATAGGGGCAGCTATGTCAGAGACAGTGAGGTTGGCACAGGACAGAGCAGGGTTCAGGTCTTTTGTACATAGGGTCATTATAAGTCACAAACAACTCGACAGCACATAACAACAACAATGGCTGAAACCAACTCATAGCTGGTTCTCCAGAGGGTTTTCAGAGAGGAGACTGCACGTCCTTCACTTGAGGAACAGTTGGTGGTTTCAAACTGCCTGACTTTGGGTTGGCAGTGTAATTCCTTACCCACTAAGCCGCAACAGCTCCCTTATTTGTGTTTGTTATTGTTGATGTTATGTGCTGTTGAGTTGGAACAGATTCAGAGCTGACCCCCCAGCAACTTTTCAGAGGCATTAAATCTCAGAGGAGGAGATTGCCCATCCTTCTCCCATGGAGCAGCTGGTGGATTTGACCCATGTACCTTTGAGATTGCAGTGCATAATCTTGCTACTATGCCACCATTTTTTGGTAAATATGCAGTCATGCATCATTGAATGTCCATGATTATGTTCTGTGAAATGGGACTTGAACTGATTTGAACACGTGCCGACACTGTAATGTATGTAGTCTGGCCCGGCTTGTTCTTTAAGCATCTTGCTTGTCAGCATGCTGAGAGGGATTCAGTTTTGTGCTTGGTCCTTAAACCATGTCATTGCCAATAAATCCACCTTTGATACAGGTCTGATTCACGTCTTTTATTTGCCTGGTAACTTTCCCACCCAAGCAGCTTTCAGTGGAGTGGGCACTTTAACGTAGGAAGCTCTGGTGGCCTAGTGGCAAGAAGCTACACTGCTACACTATTGGAGGCCAACAGCTGCTTCTTGGGGAAAGGATGGGCAATCTCCCATGTAATTTACTGCCTCTGAAAACTCCAGAGGGTGGTACATAACAACAGGCCCTTTAATAGTTTAGAGATAATTTGTTTTATTTTTTGCTTGAGGATTTCACACTGCAAGGAACAGCATTCACACATGCACCTGTTGTATTTAAGAACTTTTTGTTTCATATTCCCATTACTCCTTTCTTTCATGCTGTAGCCAAATGCACTACATGGTAATGTTTTGCAAAGCAAATGAAAGAGATAATGTGTCAACCATCAACAGGCTTGCGAAACATGAGACTGGATGCTGCTGCCTACATATACACTCATGTATGACAATATGGTAAATTTTTAAGCTAGAAAGTACAGATTACAACATGTTGTTGTTGTTATGTGCCATCGAGTCGTTTGCAATTCATAGCGACCCTATGTACAACAGCCCTAAACCCTGCTCTATCCTGTGCCAATTGCATTGCCTCTGACACACCCATCCCGATTACCCCAGTCACTGAATCAATCTACCTCATAGAGGGTCTTCCCCTCCTGCGCTGTCCCTCCACCCTACCAAGCATGATGTTCCTCTCCAAGGACCTCTATCTCCTTACAACATGTCCAAAGTATGTCAGACGAAGCCCCAGAATCCTTGCCTCCAAGGAGTAGCCTGGTTTAACTCTCTCCAGGACGAACCTGTTTGTTTTCTTGGCAGTCCATGGTACGTTCAATACTCTTCTCCAGCACCACAGCTCAAAGGCATCAATTCTCCTTCTATTCTCCCTAGGCATTGTCTAACTCTCTGATGCATAATGAGTGATTGCAAAGACCATGGCCTGTATCAGGCACACCTTAGTCTCCAGAGAGTCACCGTTGCTCTTGAGTACTTTAGAGAGGTCACTAACAGCAGACTTTCCCTTCGCAATATGTTTTTTTATTTCCTGGCTGCTGGTACCAAGAGTGTTGACCATGGAGCCAAGCAAACTGAAGCTGTGAACAATCTCAATCTCTTTGCCATCCATCCTTATGCTACCAATTAGTCCAGTGGTGAGAATCTTTGTCTTCCTGACATTGAGCCTCAGTCCATACTGACTGCTGCAGTCCTTTACCCTCTGCAGCAAGTGCATGAGGTCCTCCTCAGTTTCATACATACATAAGCCAGCAAAATAGTGAAAGATCAACTATGAGTCAGTTTCCCCTCAATGGCAATGAGAGAGGTAGATCAATACGTATGTGGTCTAAGTGTGTATATAGTACCATCCACTAGTGAGCTACTCTGCAGGGGAAAGACAGGCACTCTCTTCTCATAAAGATTCAGAGCCTCAAAAACCAGATAAATTCACCACCATGAATTCGACTCCACTTGAGAGAAGTGTTTTTTGTTTGATGAGACGTGAGATAAATGTTGCACAAGGAAAGCCACTGTGATCACTGAATCTCATTCTCTGATCAGGATTCTGAACTCTTTTTTAAACTTGGAAAAGTACACAATGCTTGGAAAGGTAGAGGGTTAGTGAAGGAGAGGAAGAAGCTCAGCGAGGTGGATTGATGCAATGACTGCAACAGTGGGCAGTAGACATGAAGGCGGCACAGCATTGGGGAGGGCTTCGTTCTGTTACAGGTTTGCTATGAGTTGGAACTGGCTCAGCAGTACCTAACAACAACAACAGCAATAAATTGTTATTTTATGAGACTGTGGATGTAGACGCTTTTGGATATTACTCAAATAGACATAATGTAATGCACGCCTGTATTTATTTTATAAATCATTGATTTAAAAACCCCACAAAACCAACAAAATGCATATACACATAGTAAAAACAACCTAGGAGGAAGTTAATCCCTTACATAAAGGGAATGGGATATGATTCTTTTTCAAATAAGATTTCCACCAAACACTAGGCTCTTGGTTTCCAAACTGTCCACATTTGGCTGCATGATTTGATTAAGGAGTGCATCTGTTTTGTAAGGTAAATTGCATGAGATTGTGACTGTCTTTTGTGTTGGAGAAGGCAAGGAGAGGTGATTGTTGAGAGTCAGGGAAAGAGAAGTAGATAGATACAGCCTTTGGATTCTGGTCTGTTCTGTAAAGCTGACATGCTCTGTTTTCTGTCACACAGTACTACTACAGCATAAAGGACATCAGCATTGGTGGGCGATGTGTTTGCAATGGCCATGCTGACGTATGTCAGGCAAGCAATCCTGAGAAACTGTAAGTACTTGTTTGGATGTTTTCATCTTGCTTTGATGGTGTCTAATGGTTATAGTGGACATATCCAAACCTTTGAACATTTCTAAGTTCCTGTCCTCAGCAGCACTTTTTCAAGGTCTGTAGATTGGAGGTGAGTGTGTAGCAGAACTTCCCAGTGGGGAGAACAGACAACCAAATGGACAGTTACAGTAAAGTCTGACAGGCATTCTGCTAAAGGATATGTTCCTGGCAGAGAAGGTGCCAGCTCAAACCCCCATAGAGATATCACAGCACATCTGAGGAACTTGTAAATTCCTTCTTCATTTTAAAGGTTTCTTTGCCCCAGCTTTTAACTGTTTCTAGTGTGTGGAACATTGTATTAGGGATTTATCTTCCTAATTTTTGGGGATAGAAATTTATATTTTTATTCATAGCTCTTCTTTTCTATTATCTTATGTTGTTGTTGCTACGTGCCATTGAGCCAACTATGACTCGTAGCGGCTCTGTGCACAATAGCTCTGAGCCCTGCTCTACCCTGAGCCAGTCTCCCTGACTCTGACACACTTACCTTCATTGCCCCAGTTACTGTGTTGATCCATCTCATCTAGGGTCTTCCTCTCCTGTGCTGCCCCTTGACCTTTCCAAGCATGATATCCTTCTCCAAAGACTGGCCCCTCTTGGCTTCATGCCCTAAGTATGTGAGACAGATTCTCAAAACCCTTGCCTCCAAGGAGCAGCTTGGTATAAAATGTAAAAATGTCTTAGAAAAGGTGCAGCCAGAGTGCTCCTTGGAGACAAGGATGACAAAGCTTTGTGTCTCATACTTTGGACATGTTGTTAGAAGAGGCTAGTCCTTGGAAAAGGATTTCTCATGCTTGGAAGGATGGAGGGTCAGTGAAAGAGAGGCAGACCCACATGGATTGCGGCAACGGAGTCAATGGTATCAGGGACGGTGAGGAGGGCACAGGCCAGAACAGGGTTCAGATCTGTCGTTCACAGGCTCACTATGGTTATACTCAACTCGGCAGCACCCAACAACAGCATAACATACATTTATTGTGTCCCCATTCAACCCTCCAATTAGGCTTCTTAAGTATAGATTGCCAGTAAGATATCTTATTTGTTTTTCCACTGGTGAAATGATCATTAATTTAGGATTGGGCTGATTACAGTGATCGATTAGAGCCCTAGTGGTCTATTCCACAGGGAGATGCTTTGTTAACTCACAGACCAAGTTTTCCGGTAGTTCGAATCCACCAGCCTCGGAGGGAGAAAGATGTGCAGTCCCTGCTTCGTGTGACTTGCAGACTCAGAAAGGCTCAGAGGCTCACCTTCTGACCTGACAACAATGAAGAAATGAAAACCTTGGTTACTGGATACTAGGGTACTTCTAAAGCTTCAGTTTAAATACAATATGAACATTATGGAGGAAGTGGTGTTTCAGTTGAAAACCTCTTTTTAATGGAGTTACCGAGTAATCATTAACTTAGCATTGACATAATTTTTCTTCTCTCACTTGGTGAGTGACTTTAACCTTGATAAACCATCCTCTCAGTTTGCTTCACAGGAAGAAATGGAGAATTCTCTTAATTTCTTCACACTGAAGAATAATTCTGGGGGGAATTTTCCCTACAATATTTCTCTATATTTTTGTATCTTAAAGTATTTTCTAGTTTTCAAAGTGCTCTACCACTGAGCAGTACAAATGTTGTGGCCTCATTTTACCCAGGAGGCAACTCAGGATGGGAATCAACAGGTTAGAGGCGGAGATAATGAGTCGGAGTTTTAGGCCTGAATAACAGATGCAAGAACATGTTTTCTACATCCACGTTCAGCCTGGGCCAAGAGATTTAAGAAAAGCAATTATTTGGGACTACCAGTGCAATTCATACAGGTTTCAGCCACTCCTTCCCCCTTTATAAACTCACTTTTAATCTTCTTATGAACTCCAGGAGCTCTGGTTGCTTAGTGGTAAGGAACTGCACTGTTGAAGCAAAGGTACATGGTTCAAATCCACCAGCTGCTCTGCCAGAGAAAGATGAGCAGTCGTCTCCTATCCGATTTACAGCCTCTGAAAAGCCCTGGGAAGGGCAGCGATAAGTTGATTTCTACTCAAAGGCTGTGAATGAAGGTGATGGTATAACAGTAGGCTGAGCCCCGGGGCGAGTGCTGATGGCTTAGTCTGTGATGAGCTACACTGCTAGTCCAGAGACTGGGCCTCCCGGTGGTTTGAATCCCCAGTGACTCCCAAGGGGAATGATGAGCAATCTCCTCCTGTGTGTTTTGTACCCTTACCAACCCAGAGGAAGGCAGCTCTGCAGCAGGGAGCTCCCTGAAATCCCAAAGGCACGCAGTTCGAATCCACCAGCCACTCCCTCCTCATGTGCAATTTACTGCCTCTGATAACCTGCCTGAAAATCAGCTCTGAGTTGGTTCTAATTTTATTTTTACTCTTTTTTAAAAATTATTGTGATTTTTTTTGCAAGAAGGGTAAAAATGAAAAATTATTGTGATTTTTAACATGAGTTTACAGAAAACTTGGATTTTCATTTATTCCGTGTTGCATGTTTTCATGCCTAGCCCCTGAGTTCACTTAAAAAAAATAATTCTTTCATTGTTGCATAATTTCCTGCCTCCCTCAACCCCAGTCCACTTTGCTATGTACCTTTTATTCTGGACTGCTGTCATACAAATAATGCCTAATCATATATTCCTTTTAAAGAGTTCTTTCTTTCATCTGTTTCAACAAGTGTTCATTACTTAATCCTTTTTTCTTAGTTCCCCCCCCACCTCCATGTCAGTCTTGTTTTATAGTAGTGGTGTTATGCAGTATTTGTCTTTTTCTGACTGACATATTTCACTCAGCATAATGTCCTCCAGGGTCACCCAGTTATGTAACTTTATATGAGCTCCTTGTTTTTCAGTGCTGCATAGTATTCCACTGTGTGACTACACCACAGTTTTTCTAGCAATTCATTTGTTGGTGGGCGCTTGGATTGCTTCCATCTCTTTGCTATTGTGAACAACATAGCAATAAACATAGGTGTGAATATATCTTTTTGAGTGGCAGTTCTGTTGTCATGGAGCTGCTGGGTCAAATGACATTTCAATTTCCAACTTTTTGAGAAAGCGCCACACCACCTTCCATAGTGGTTGCACTATTTTACACTGCCAGCAGCAGTCAATGAGGGTTTCAGTCTCTCTACATCCTAGCCAGCATTTGTTGTTTGCTGCTCTGCTGAACTTTGCTATTGTTACTGGCGTTTTGTTAGTGGTTTTGAGTTGGTTCTTACTTAACTACACACAACAACAACAATCCACAGGAGAGTGACCTACGAGTCAACTCCTGCACAAGGGCAATGAGTTAGTTTAGTTATTATTAGAGTAGTTAAGTCCCAGGGCAGTATGAGGACTATCCTCTCCTGCTAATCATTATTGTGGTTGGGTTTGAACTTTCCCAAAGCTCCTCTGAAGACAAGATTGAGTTTGCTTCTGAGAGCTCACAGCCTGGAGAGGCCCAGAGAGCCCGGTTCTGCAATGGCACACGTGGGGCTGCTGTAAGATGCAATTGATTTGATGACAACAACATGAATAATTGGACTGCATGTTCTTACAGTGATCCTCCCCAAATACTCTTTTAATTCGTCTTGTGCCAAATATTTCAGGATGAGAAGCTGCGATGATGTTTCTGCCGAGCACACACGTGGACTCCAGCCACTGTGTGCTCCAGATAGATCTCCAGGTGCCCTCATGGGCCAATGAGCCGGGAAAGGAGGGCATGTCTTCCTGGAGGGTAACAGAATAAATGCCGATCCCCCTCCACTCAGCAAAGAGTGGGGTTTTCTTGGAAAATGGTTTTGAAGCCTCTTTCAGGCACAGATGAATAGGAAATCAAAGCCTGGTGTGTTGGTCCAACACTGTCACTGTACTATTTCATTTGACTTGGCAAAATCTTATGGCAGATTCATAACCTTCTGAACTCAGACATCTAGAGTTTTGTACGCTTGGCAGATGATGTGGCTGGCACAGTCCCTGGGAACAGGATTCTCTGCAGTCTAATTTTGGGTCACAGTCAGTGGGTTCTGTGAATATCTGTGCTGACCCCTTGAACAGACCTGGCTCACAAGCCTCCTCCCGCCAAGCTGAAAGGATTCATCTTTTCACTGTTATAAACACAGCACCACGTTTGTCAGGTCAGGATTTTTTCATAAGTACCATTTAGCGGTTTAGTGAATCATGTTGTGAAACAGTCACTAATACCCGTTGCCAAATGTCCCATCATAATAAACATAAATTCAGTGCTTCTAGATAATGACTTCTCCTTACCCACTCCCTTCCTGCCTCGGTTAAAACCAAAGTTCACCGCCTTAGTTGCTTTGTGCTCAGACTAAAACTGCCTCACAGGGTTTCCTTGATTGTAAATCTTTACAGAATCAGATCCCACATCCTTCTCCTGCTGAGCAGTTGGTAGGATTGAACCACCCACCTTTTGGTGAGAGGGGAGAGAGAGACAGACTTGATTCAACATAATATTTTCAAGGTGAAGGGCTTCTCCCCACGGCTTAGTGGGCTCAGCACTGGCCTTATCAGTTGTCCATTTATTAATACAGTGCAGGAGCGAAGGAGGGTGTGAAGCTTACCAGCCAGCTCTCCATTCTCCACTGAGTGATCTTGACAAGTGTTTCAGTGTCGCTGAATCTTAGTTTTCAATTAAACAAACAAACAAAAAAATCCCCACAACAAACCTTAAACTCATTTCTGTTGAGTTTGAACGAACTCATCGCTGACCCTCTGTTTGGTTTCTGAGGCTGTAAATTGCATAGGAGAAGAGTGTCCACTGTTCTCCTGTGGAGCTGCTGGTGGGTTCAGACTGCTGGGAGGCCCAGCTTTGGGGCTCACAGTGCAACTTTCTGTAGATTATTAGTTTGCTGGATCTGGGGGACTTGAAAGAAATAATCTTGTTGATGTTGTTGTGTACCATCCAGTTGGAGCTGACCCTCCAGCGGGTTTTCAGAGGCAGTTAATGGCACGGAAGGAGATTGCCTATTCTTGTCCCACAGAGCAGCTGGTGAATTCGAACCGGGTGTCTTCAGGATTGCAGCGCAGCTTCTTGTCAGTAGGCCTCTAGCATGCAAAACATTTTGTTTTCATATTTGCTTGATAAAAGGAGGCACTGGCCAAGATGACCATGACAATTCCATTCATGCTCCAGTTTTCACACAGGAACAGCTGATATTAATCTACACCTTTTCAACCAAGCTGTGTTTCACCCGCTCGGCCAGGTTTCGGTGTGACTGTCAACACCACACGTGTGGGGAGACGTGTGACCGCTGCTGTGAGGGCTACAACCAGAGGCAGTGGTGGCCGGCCACTTCTGAGCAGACCAATGAGTGTGAAGGTGAGTGTCGGGCAGGGATCTGAGGCTCCTCACATGCTCTGTGTCCATTTCTACCAGTGGGTTAATCTTGTGCTTCCCGTGCCCATAGCGTTTGGGATCAGAACCCTCCTAGGGGGTCCGGTCTGCCTCTTAAGGAAGAAAGGCATAAACTGAAGGTAAATCCAGATATTAAATATGAAAACAAAATGAACAACAGCAATAAGCATTAACATATTTTTTATTTAAATGTTTTTATTATTAATTTCAGTGAAAATTTACAGAGACTTTGGATTTCCATTCATTCATTGTTGCACTTTTCTCCCTGCCCACCCTTGCCCCCCATACACTCTTCTCTTTGAAAAGTAGAAGAAAATTCTTTCATTGTTTTACAATCCCTCCTCCCAGGCCCACTCTACTATGCAGCCTTTGTTCTGGACTCCTGTCATGACCATAATACCTAATGATATGATATATACCTTTTAAACAGTTTTCTCCCTCATCTGTTTCAATGCAGTATACATTATTTATCCCATCTTTCCCAGTCTCCCCCCAACCCCAAGGTCAGTCCTGTTTTACAACAGTGGCACCATGCAGTATTTGTCCTTTTTGACTGAGATATTTCACTCAGCATAATGTCCTCCAGGGTCACCCATTTTGAATAATATTGTATGAGTTCCTTGTTTTTCAATGCAGCATAGTATTCCATTGCGTGAATATACCACATCTTCTCTATCCATTCGTTTGTTGATGGGCACTTAAGTTGTTTCCAAGTCCTTGCTATTGTGAACAAAGCCACGATAAACATGGGTGTGCATATGTCTGCTTGGATGTCAGTTATGGTCTCTTTGGGGTATATTCCCAGTAGTGGAATTGCTGGGTCAAATGAGATCGCCATTTGTAACTTTTTGAGAAAGCGCCACACAGTGGTTGCACCAAGCATTAACAATTTTAAAAGCATTCACTAAATGCCCGTCTGCGTTAGAGGCAAAGATGGTGAAGCTTTGTCTCACATGCTTTGGGCATGTTGTCAGGATGGACCAGCCCTTGGAAAAAGACATCATGGTGGGGATGGTGAAGCAGAGGATCCTCCTTGCGATGGGTTGACACGGTGACCGCAGCAATGTGCTTGAGCTTGGAGATCGTGAGAATGGCACAGGACAGGGCAAGATTCTGATATGCTGTTGACAGACACCCTAAGTTGTCGTGGGCCTAGTAGCACCTAACAACAGCAACAACAATGACATAGGCAAAGCTTGAGAAGGGTGGTCCAATGATCAAAGCCTCACCTGCCACGTGGGGATCTCAGGTCCGATTCCGAGCCAGTGTTCCTCAGGTGCAGCCACCACCCATCTGCCTTTGCTTTCCTGCTGCAATGATGCCAAACTAATTTCAAACTAGACGAACTAGGATGAAAAGCCTGATAACTGAATTCCTAAATTCAGTCCACAAAAACCTCAGGGCTCACAAGAGTGTGCTCCTCCGGGGCTCATAGGCGTGCCTCACGACTGTGTGTCATTTCTTTCCATTGTGCCTGAGGTTGCCAAGAGCTGGTGACCACTGGGTGCCAGCTAACGCCAACAATATATGCAGAAGCTGAGCTGAGCACTTTTTTAATACCCTGGCTTCTGTTTTTAAAAGCCTTAAACCTTATGCAGCTGCTCTAAAGCCATAACATCTTTTCATTTCTTAGGCAGTGCTCCTGGATAGGAGTCTTAGCTATTTTGAAGATGGAGGTTCAAAGAAGGTGGCGAGATTGCTGTTTGAGAATTGCAAGCATTGAGGGAAGGAGGGGAAAGCAGATAGAAGGATTGAGCAGTGGAGGATGGAAGGGGCAAGAGAAAGAAGTAAAAAAGCATGAGACTGTTTTGGTTTATGGGTGAAATATAAAATAGAAAAAAAATTATAAATTTTGTTTATTAACAAGCTTTAACTGAGACACCCAGTTGAAGATTCTGAAGATTATCTTTTACATCCATTCTGCTGAAAAGCCTCAGATTTCTAACAATTGCTGAAACTTTCTTTTTTGATGACTTTTTCATTTTGGCTAGAGAGGCTGTAAATGTTTCTGATTACATGTAGCATGGGAAGGTGGAGTTTCTTTTTTAAAATGGCTAGATGACATTTGGAGCTAGTTTTCTTGAATAAGTGGGTTAAAATATGTGCTTTATACTTCTCGGTCAAATATATTTTTGTGACACTGGTGGCTTTGTGGTAAGCAATTGTGCTGCCAATGCAAAGGTGTGCAGTTTGAATCCACCAGCTGCTCTGTGGGAGAAAGATGGACAATCTCCTTCTTTTCTCTTTGTTTTTGTTGTTGTTGATTGCCTTCAAGTCGAGCACAACTAGGGCGACCCTATGAACAAAAGGCCTGAAACCCCTCTACAAGTATTGACATGTCTTTAATAGAGTTTCTAGAGTCAAGTTGTTTAGGAAGTGGATGTCACTCCTGCTTCCAAACCTGTCATAGAATGTTATTGGTTGATTTGCCTGCGATGCATAGTGACCCTGTGTACAGCAGCTCTGAACCCTTTCCTGTCCTGAGCCAGTCTCACTAATTCTGACTCACCAACCCTCATTGCCCCAGTTACTGTATCAATAATCTTTACTGCCTCTGAAAATCCATTAGATGGCCATCTTTGGGTTGGTTCCAACTTGATGGTACACAACAGCAACAACAATAAAGTATTCCTGGCTGGCACAGATGGCTGGCTCTTTTGGTTGCTACTGAAATTTAGATGTTAGAGTATATTTGAGATGCCTTGAGAGAAGGGCTTTAGCAATTTTTTTTTAATTTTAGGATTTTTATTTTATGTTGGTTTGCTTACAAAGTTCATATGATTGTGTTTTACACGAGTCTTCATTCACATTGTGTACGCAGTTTACTTTTTAAAAAAATTAATCCAGCCATTGAAACCCCTATGGAATGCTGATTCATTTGGGGTCATTATAAATTAGAATATCTAGATGGCAACTGATATTAATAATAAAACTGATGATATTTTCTGACTAGAAAACTTACTCAAAGGCATTTAATGAGGAGTTCCAGGAATGTTCTGAGAGTTGCTAGTGATGTTGGCACATGCTGATAGCTGCCCAGACAGATGGCCAGATGTGCTACTTGGATGAACTTTATAGTTGGAGCTAACAGGTTCTTTTCTGGTAACATCCCTACTCCTCACTCCTAGATGACAGGAACCAGAAAGCGGGAAAGGTAATAATCAGGGATCATTTCTTCCACTCCTTTGTAGCATATTTTGCATAACTGATTTGGTGAACTCCACCTAGCATTTGCTATTTGATTAGTTTTTCAGACTAAGGGGATGGCTTTGTAAACGATATGCTTCAATCAAACACATACAAAAAAAAAACCTGAAATTTTTTTCAGAGTTTTTAACTTTTAAAAACTTGTCAAAAATGTTGAAAAATGATAAAAACCATTTACGGGAATCAGACTAATTTGAATCCATTTGTTAGATGCTTTCTGAATTTCATTTGAATGATGCAGTTCAGCATTTTGAATTTTTTTTTAGGTCTTTTTTTAAAAATTCTGGTTTATTTACAAAATTGTTGGGGTTGTTAAAAAATAATTTTAATGAACATTTATAGAGATTTTGGATTTCCATTCATTCATTGCTGCACTTCTCTCCCCGCCCAGCCCCCCAGCCCCCAGTTGGCTCCTCTCTTCCAAAAGCAAAAGAAACACTCCCTCCCTGGTACACAATCCCCCCGCACCCCTCCCACCGCCCCAAGTACATTCCACTATGCAACCTTAATTGTGGACTCTTGTGCATTTTGAATTTTTTGTCATGGCACCAAGAAAGATGAAAATAAGCAAGTGCATAGCCTGTGGAAACAGGGGACTAGTCTAATTTCTAATTAGTATTCCTTCCCAATAAATTCACACATGGTAAAGCTGATGAGAAATTATGAATTACCAGTAAGACTTAGTACATTTGATTTAGGTAGAATACAATGATTATATAGTTTTCTTTGTTATTGCTGTTATGCGCTGTCAAAGTGGAACTGACGCATAGCTGACCCTCCAGCAGGTTCAGAGGCAGTGAATTGCCCTGGAGGAGACTGCCCATCTTCCTCTCGTGGAGCAGCTGGTAGTTTTGAACTGCATGCTTTTGGGGTGATGGTGCCCCTCCTTACGACTCACTACAGGAACCACCCCAAAGGCAGGCGGCTCCGACATGATGGTACAAGCCAACAACAACAATTCAAGATGTGTTATATATTCCAAATCAAAACCAAAATCACAGCCATCGAGTTAGTTTTTCCTCATAGAGACGTTTCATCAGGTTGTAAAATTGTAAAAAAAATTTTCTCTCACAAAGCAGCTGATGGATTTGAATGACTGACCTTTTAGCCCTTTAACACATCACACATTACACACACTCACACCCCCATCACATAACACACTATATATACACCACAAGATACTTGTTTATTATGTATTACTTATAGATACTTTGGAAATGAATATAAAATAATAATTTTAGTACCCAAAGGAATTCATTATTAATATTAATTTTATTAGATCTTTTTAGTATTTTAGTTATACAAAACTATTATTTATACAACTGAAATCTGACTTTTCAGATATTTTCCATGTAATTAAAAAACTTTGACACATTTTTAAAACATTTTTTTTCTTTAGATCAAAGTTATTGCTATTTTAAATAATACTGAGAGAAAAGCTGAGAATATTGGCTGAGTATTTAGGGTCTTGAGTTAAACAAAGGAATTCTGTCTCTCTTAAAAGCTTTGCAACTACATAGGCACATACCTTAAACTGTCTACACCTACGCTTCCCAATCTGTTCTATGAGGACAGTAGTATCTACCTTAGAGAGTTATTGTGCAGATTAAATGAGATAATGTCAACCACTTACAGCTCAGTCACCTTTGCCGGTAGTGGTAATACAGTAGTGTTGTTGCTGTGTACCCTCAAGTCAGAACCAACTCAGAGCCAACCCTCCAGTGAGTTTTCAGAGGAAGATCAATTGCATGGGAGGAGAGGAGCAGCTGGTGAATTCTAACCATTTGCCTTTGGATTGACAGCTCAGCTCCTTACCACAAGGTGACCAAAGCTCTTTTTGGTTTCTCAGAATAATTTATTATAATTGCTTATATTAGGGAGCACTGGTGGCCTAGTGGCAAGAAGTGGCACTACAGTCCCTGAAGGCAGGCACTCAGTTCAAATCCACCAGCTAGCTGCTCCTTGGGAGAAGGATGGACAATCTCCTCTTCTGTGATTAACTGCCTCTGAAAACCTGCCAAAGAGTCAGCTGTGGGTTTGTTCCAACTTGACGGTATGCAACATCAACAATTATTTCTTTTTTTTAAAGAGAAAGCTCTTATATAAAAGGAGATATCAATTGCATATATACTAGGTAGGTCTTAGTGCAAAGTTTAAAGGTTCCTAATGTTTCAGACTAGACTTTACTCTGGCACAATGAGCAGCAATTACCCCAGGAAAATTACTAAGCATCTTGTCCTAATGATGGAATAGTGAGTTAATACTTCTTTTATTCCCCAGCATGCAACTGCCATGGCCACGCCACTGACTGCTACTATGATGCAAATGTTGAAAAGCAGCAGGCAAGCTTGAATACTCAAGGCATCTATGCAGGCGGAGGGGTCTGCATTAATTGTCAGGTGAGACACTATTTAAAATCAAAGTGGGTATACCATGGGGAAGCACTCTGCAACCCAGCCTTTCAAAGAGACATATGCTGATAACGGGGTTTCTAGAGGCCATTTCTCTGCTTTTGTCCACAAAAGACTCTGCTGGTAGGATGCAACTTATTGATTTGTAAGGAAACTGGTAGCACAGTTATTATTGAATGCTTTATGGCTAACTGAAGAGTTGGTAGTTTGAATCCACCAGCCAGCCACACCTTGAGAGAAAGAGACAGTCTGCTTCTGTGAAGATTTATAGCCTTGAAAACCCTGTGGGGCAGTTCTACTCCGCCCACTAGTAGTTGTAGAACAGAAGTTTTGCTATGACTTTCCTATTAGCTGGCATTGTGTTTGGTTTTTGTTTTAGAGAAAATGAATCGAGACATGTTTATTCAAATCCCTTTGATTAGATTCTTCACTTAGGTCTTTGCTTAACTGGAGATTGTCCATCTTGTGGAAGATGGACTCTCGGGCTCTCCGGTAAGGAGGACATATAGCTGTCAGCTTCAGTGCTGACTCTAAATTCTGTTCTCAGAAGGATTCCAGGTCTAGGCATAAAGCCATGCACCTTGCTCAGCTGATGATGGCTGCCTCTGATGAAGCACTGACATTTCATCCCTGTGCCGGACATGCAGGTTCACTGGCGGGTAGCCGTGATTGAGTGTGCCAGAGGAGGGCACAAGTGTGTCAGTATTGAGATTATCACTAAAAATTCAGTAAAATGTTCATGACCTGGTCTGTGATGTCACTTTTCTTGTGGGTTTTTAGAGTGGTGTTTGTTACTGTCACCGTCAAAGGGGCTTTCTTTATATGAGATGCCGAGTCACAACAAAACAAGGCCACACACCCACCAGGACACCCACCAGTCTTCTCAACTTTCCAACTCCATGCTCTTATATCATCTGTTATCACAACTAATTAGACTACTAATAAAACATAAGTCTTAAGCTTGTTGCTAATCAAAAGGATGCATTTTGTTGTTGTTACATGCCGTAGAACAGCTCTGAAGCCTGCTCTATCCTGAGCCAACCGTATTGTTTCTGACACACTTACCCCCACCCCCCAGTCACTGAGTCAATCCTTCTCTTTGAGGGTCTTTATCTCTTCAGCTGTCCCTCCACCCTCCCAAGCATGACCACCACTAGACCACCAGTACTCAATCTACTAAATGAGTTGTAGCTCAGATTCTCCCGCCTCTCCTCAGGAGAAAGGGGAGGTAGTTTAGGATATTGCATGAGGTAATTCTCTATCTTGTGGGATGGTTTTGACTTGGAATCCATGTGAGAACTGTGGGTTGTGTTTGATTTTAGAGGAAGTACATACCCATTGAGCACTCCCTCCTTGGAGTTCCCTCCCTGCAGCCCATAGCGACTAGTAGTCCATTTTCCATCTCTAGGAATTTATATTTATATATATCATATAAATGGATCCACAGAATATATAAACACATATACATATTTTTCCAGTTTTCATCCACGTTGTAGCATTTGTATATACTTCACGACTTTTTATGAGTAAACAATACTTCATTGTGTGCATTTAGCATCTGTTGATGGCTATCTGGCTTGTTTCCACCTTTTAACAGTTTGTATACAGTATTTGTTTGAATACCTGTTTTATGTTCTTTTGGCTGTGCACCTGGAAGTAGAATTTTGGGTAATTGTTTATAACTGCTTGAAAAACCATCAAACTATTTTCCAGCAAATATTTTAAGTTGAATAATAATGAAAGCACAACATATCAAAATGTGTGGAATTGAACAGCTTTAAATGCTTATGTTTAAAAAAAGGAAAATCTAAAATCATTTGCCTAAGTTTCTAGCTTAAGAAGCTAGAAAAAGAAGAGCAAAATAGACCCAGAGAAGTAGAAGAAATAAACAAATAAGGATAAACTCAGCATTCATGTTAAAAAGGAAAAATACAGAAACAATTGGAAAAAAAGAACAAAGTTGATTTTTTGAAAATAATAAATTTCCAGGTCAAGAAAAGAAGAATGATACCACAAACTTTTATATAAAATTTCACACTTAGTATAAACTTACATTTTATATTACATTAATTATAAAGTTATATTTGAAGAAATGGACAAATTTATTAAAACTTCTAATTTACTAAAGTGATACTAGAACAAACAAAACATTTGAATGCCTTTATAGCTAGACATAAATGGAATCTATTATCAAAATCTCCCCACAAAAATAAAACATGTGTTGTTGTTGTGTACTGTTGAGTCAGAACCAATCCATAGCCAACCTCCTGGGAGTTTTCAGAGGGTTAATCTCATAAGAGGAGATTGCCTGTCCTTCTCCTGTGGAGCAGCTGGTGGATTTGAACCATATGCTTTTGGGATTGCAGCACAGTTTCTTACCACACGGCACCAGACCGGAAGACTTTCAGTGGTAAATTCTACTAACAAATGAGGAAAACAATCACACCTGTCTTACCCAAATTCTTGCATCAAACAGAGGGGTGGAGGAATTTCCCCAATTGGTTTGTTGAGACCCAAATAACCTTAATTACCTGACAGACATTATCGAATAGAAAATTGCTGAGCTGTTGTCCCTCTTGAACATCAATTCACAGACAGAGAAAATAATTGTTTAATAAAGCAAATATTATAAAATGTTAATAATAAACATTGGGTGGTGGATAGATAGATGCTCACTGTAAAAGTTAAAAATATTATGCTAAAACTTAGGAGAGAAGCTTGTTCTCTGTTAAGACTGAAGATTAACCATGTCCTCTGAGGTGATGCTTGAAGGGGGTTTCTCCATAAACTAAAATGAACTTGCTAGCCTCCTTCCTAAAGATGTGACTTCTGATCTAAATATTAAGCTAGTCTGTCCATTTTCTGTACAGAAGTAACTCGTGGTTGCTGTGATGCTAAATACTGTGACACTGATGTATTAAATGTGATAATGGTTATCCATGGTGGACAGTGTTTGGTGGAGCTCCCCAATTAAAACAAGCTTGAAAGCAGGAGTGGCATCCACTTCCGGAATAGCTTGCCTCCGGAAACTCTATGAACTTAGAGAAACGATGAAAGTTATACAAGTGTTCAAGTCTTTCGTTCATAGGGTCACTATGAGTTATTTACGACTCGACGGCACTTAACAACAACAACTGCTCCCCTAGTGCACTGGTCTCACTGTTCACTGTCTCTCTCTCAACACATGGATTCAAACTTCCTGACTTTGGGTTGGCAGTGCAACTCTCTACACTAGACCATCAGAACTCCCTGGTACAAGCTTATTTCAATAATTTATAGATCACACATAACAAAAAAGAAGGAATTGAAGAGCAGACTAAGTACGTATGGCTACATTCTTACCAGTTACAAATCCCAGAAAAAATGATAGCACAGGTATTTAAAGAGAAGAGTGCTCTTTGCCTTCAGAATCCGAAATAGCATGAAAAATAAGAAAGATTGGTTTCAACAGATGAGGAATTGTAAGAGTCCTTATAAAGAAAGAAAGCAGAAATCCATGCAGGCAGGGGAACACAGCTACGTTGGAGATAATCTAAGAGGCAGCAGAGAGAAGAAATTAGTTGGGGAGCTGTATTTAAACCTGTAAAATGTCACTGAACTTGTGAAAGAGCTATGTGGAGAGGAATAATGTGTGTCTGGACTCAATATTATAAATTTATTATGTCACTGAAATAAATCTGTAAATTTAGTGCATTCAAAATTTAAATTCCAGCACACCTTTTTTTTTAGAAGTTTGACAAATTGATTTTAAAGTTCTTAGAGACACAAAGAATATGTAGAAAAGATGAACAATTTATGCAAAAGATTTGTCTTTCTCATTTTCCGGAATTTTTTTTAAAAGTCTTTTTATATATGTAAGGTTTTTCTTTACTTCTTTTTTGACCGTGATGTTTCCAATCACTTTGACAAAAAGAGCTCCATTATCACAGCAACTGTATTGGAGACACAGCTGTTCATTTATGAATATTGTGTCACACCTGTAGGTTGATAAAAGAATTCATGCTATGGATTAGTTTGTTTCAAGAAAAAGTACTTTCCTAGCCATGACGGGAGGTTTTGGTCAGAGATGTAGTAGTAAAACCAAGTTGTGTTATCATGATTCTTTGTCAACAAATGGCGCTTCCATAGTGAATAAACTAGAAAACTTTAGAAGATTGTCATTGAAAACTAAAGAACTTGATTTTGATTTCATATAAAGCTTCAGGACAAAGTTCTATCTAAAAAACAAAGTCACAGACAACTTTTGATGGTAATATTTACATTATTATCCATGAAAAAAATTTGTGTCTTGAACAATTCTACCACTTCTTTTACCGCTATCTCCCTCCTTAACCTCCTCAAAAAGTGAATCATCCCTAATTAGTGGCATTTTTTTCCTCCTAAAGATAGTAGGATGTGATAGTTTGAATTTCAAGAGCTTTTGAAAATAGCTGAAGCAGGTGGGATGGAGTGAGCAGACAATTCTAAGTTGTTATTTTCCTGTTAGTTCCTGTGGAGATCCAGTGGAAGACAGGGAGTCCTGATACCATAGAAATGTCAAACATGCAACCATATTGCAGATGTTTCAAGTGGAAGAGTTCGAGTGAAAGAGGAGGAAAAAGGATGCCCTTCATCAACATTGAACCAAGACTGAGAAAAACTGGATAAATTATGTATACTGCATTGAAACAAATGAGGGAGAGAACAGCTTAAAAGCGATATATGATAGGGTATTATGGTTATCACAAGAGTCCAGAATTAAGGTTGCATAGTGGAGTGTACTCTGGGCGGGGATGGGGTGGTGGTGGGGTGGGGGATTGTATACCAATGAAGGAATTTTACTTTTCAAAGAGAGGAGCGAACTGAGGGGGAGAGGTGGACAGGGAGAAAAGTGCAACAATGAATGAATGCAAATCCAAAATCTCTGTAAATGTTCATTAAAATTAATAAAATAAAATAAAAAAAATAGAGAAGCAAAAGAAAAAAAAAGAACCAAGGCGCTCTCAAAGTTCCTAAGGGCAGGAAGGAAGGAACATGTTTACACACACGTGGGAACGATGAGCGTTGAATGATGTCTTGAGCGTCTCCTCTTCAGACCATCCAGTATATTGCGTTCCTAAATGAGGCCATTCTTGCTCTTTCATAGGACTTGGCATTGGGTACATCTAGTCAAGTAGTTAAAATTCTTGTCCTAAATCCTTCCAACTACAAGGTTGTCGGTGATGTTGTCACACGAATCTGAACCCTGCTCTATCCTGTGCCATCTTCACCATCTCTGCTGTACGTGATCCTACTGTTACAGTCATTGTGTCAGTCTCTCTCATTGAGAGTCTTCCCCTCCTTTGCTGACCCTCCACTTTTCCAAGCATGAAATCCTTTTTTATGCCCAAACAATATGCCCAAAGTATGTGAGATGAAGTTTCTCTATCCTGGCTTCTAAGAAGCACTCACTCTAGTTGTACCTTTTTCAAGACATTTGCTTTTTCAGCAGTCCATGGACATTTAATATTCTTCTACAACACCACAGCTCAAAGACATCTGTTCATCTTCTGTCATCCTTATTCTTTGTCAGAGTTTCAGGTGTATAGCAAATGATTGAGTAGGGCAGTTAAAAATTACATTTCTTTTTCCACTGCCTATGTGAAATTCTTTCCATCTTTTAAAGGCCAACTAAAGGTTTGTGTCCTCAATGCTTGGGGTACACAGGAGTGGAAGCCAGTAACAGCTTTGTAGGCGTAGCCAAAAAAATTGAAATCAGGAAGATGGAGGAGGAGGGAAAAAAAAGAGAAAACCCAAGTAAGTGAACAAGGGAGGGATGAGGAATTGCCTGAAAGTTGAAGAGCAACTTGGAAAAAATTTTTTGGAAGGATACTGACTTAAGTATTAGCAGAACCTGGGATTTCTAGGTAATCAGTTCTTAGTCTTTCTACGAGGTGACAGTGCAAAAGAAAAGCTGAATGTATTGTGGATTTAGATAGAGATTTCATCAGCACCGCCCCACATACAGATTTCATTATTATCCATGCCACTGTTGGACAGTTGATTTTTTTTTTTATCTTATGTAAATTATCATGCAGACAGCTATCCAGCTTCCGCCCCTTTGGGCAAGATTGCTTTGACCAGGCTCTCCAATATGGAAATAATGATGCCACCAGTGTTGTTGGTCCTTGATAAGGGTACATCACATCAGTGGTATCCATGGATATTTTGATGCATAGCATCTCATTGTATGGTGCAGGTCCTACAGAATCGCCAGGTGTGATGCTGATCATTCAGGATCAGTTTATCCTTCCCTGCTCTGAGTATTTGCTGCTCTTTTGACCATTCTCCATTTATTGCTGTTCTGTATGTGTGACAAATGTGACTTCTCTGTGGAAGTAATCTTCTTGAATTTTCCCCCCTCTCATTAAAGTCAAGTACATTGGTGCATTTTGTGCTAGAGTGCAAAGCCAGGACTCTCACTTCAGAGCCCTTTCCCTCTCTTCCCATCCAGTGATAGGAAGAATCAGAGTTAAGCAAAGTTCCTCTTCATTATATGTCATAGTGGCAAACTGCACAGTGGATAGGTTAATTGGCATTTGATGGGAAGGGAAGTGGATCACACACAGATGGTTCTTGTTTTGCCCAAATGTTTATGCATCTAAATGTGAACACAGAGAAATGTCCAGTGTGGTTTTTAGACCTTAATGTTAAAGTGGATTCAGATTTTAGCCTACAGGACAAGGGTGGTAACAATAAAAGCCTGCAGTCAATAATATCTGAAATTAGAGAAAGAACACAGAAAGAGCCTTTGTTCTCTTCTGTCTTCAGCTGCAGACTCTTGTGTGAGTCAAAGTGTGTTTTATTTGTTCTTTGTACCTCCTGTTGCCGTTCTTTTCATTAGTGAAAGAGCATTGCTTTCTTGGTTATTTCCAAATTGGATAGAAAGAGCCAGGATTGAGCTAAATTCGTGGTGTCTAGAGTTCTTGGAAAATGAGGATACATGTTGGGTAATTTGATTTTGAGTCAATTATAAGTATTAACTTTGACATATAAAAGGCTGTCTAGTATTAAATTTTAAAATGAGCTCTGTGTATGAAACTCAGGCCTACTATTTTTGCCATTTATGTAATAGAAATGTTTAGACAATGGTTTCATGACTGAGCACAGTGAAATTAGAACAAGGAGAGATCTGTATGTGCTCTTTCTTCCCAAAATGGGGAAGATATTAACGCACATATGGTCTGTTATTCCTTGGTTAAACCCTGATGTGACTTACTATCCATTCCTTGTTCTTTGGGACGAACTGTGGGGAATAGTCCTACTGACTTTTTTTCATCACTGAATTGAATCTTTCCTTAATCAAATTGTGTGGTAGAGGAGAAATCCTGGGCTGCCCAGTACAGGGACCTTTCCATCATTTTTTGTTTTAATGGAGGAAAAAAGTCTTCCAGAGCCAAAGTGAAACTGATGTGGCAAATCTTGAAGACTGAAAGTCAAGATTAGTGCTTGTTCTTTTAGTGACTTTGAAATTAGAATTGTGTCACTTAACTCACTCATTGTCATTGAATCAGGAGTGACTCACAGCTGAGCCTCTATGGGGTTTCTAAGGCTGTAAGTCACATGGGAGGAGATTGTCCAACTTTCTCCCAAAGTACTACTGGTGGATTTGAACCTCTAGAGAGGTAGGGCCTTTGGGTTAGCCGTGTAACCCTCCAAGGCCTGTGCCACCACAACCAGAATTACACGACAGAATTATAATCTCCTAACTTTGTTCCTCTGGATGAATAACACGATGTAAGGGCTTTGTTAGTACTCTATCCTCTAAATTCCTCTCGTTTCTTTCTAGCACAACACAGCTGGGATAAACTGTGAAATGTGTGCGAAGGGTTATTACCGCCCTCACGGTGTTCCGGTCGAAGCCCCACGCGGCTGCATCCGTAAGTTTCATTTCAGCTTGGTGAATCTGAGTCAGTGATTACTGCAGCGGGGACTCATCAAGTTAAATTCTGATTGGCTACCAATTTCCCTTCATTCCTTCCCTTGATATTATCGATTCATCAACTCACTAGCCACAAGCAGTTAATCTCGCCAAGACTAATTTCTTTTCTATAAATAGACATGATTCTCCTAAAACTATCGTCCTGTGATAGTACTTTAAACCTAAACCCAAAAATGTTCCCAGATGTCTTATTAACCCTTTGCAACTTGGGGTACATGCAGTGCCCACCTATACTGTTTATCTCTGGGGTTTAGTAGGAAGTTGATATCCCACTTTGAATGCGTGCTGTCCTCTGAGGAGCCTGCATCTGAAGAACCAGGCTTCATCTCATCAACCCCAGCACCATGTGCCTCCTATTTGTATAAAACATCCTTATTACCTTACTTTCCCCTCCATTTCCTTTCAATGTGTCTTCCATTACTGAAAACACATGAAATCAATACAAGTTCATAGTAGATAATAATTCCGTATTTAAAGAACCAAAACCAAACAGTAATTTAGCTTAACTCTAAAAAAAAGAATATTCTGTTTTTGAAAAACAGTCTATATAGACCCAATTTGACAACAGTGACTTGAAAGATTAAACAGTAACTACCTTATGGGACTGTAAGTTTATGTTAATAAGGGAGGAAAAACTCACTCTTCTGAGTTGTAAAACTTTCTGTAAAATGGCTTAAACTTGTAGAATGTAAACAACACTGGCTGAACTGTACATGTGGAAATGATTAGATTGGTATCTGTTTTTGCTATGGCTATTCAACAACAGCAACAAAATAAATTGAAGAGTGGAAGCGGTAGTACATTTTTAAAAGGTCATGTAACATACTATCAAAAACACCTAGGAAGACACCTGGCATTGGGCTTGGCATGTGGTATAGACTTGCCATGAATATTATTTTCTCCATTTTCTGCTGTTTTAACACTATCGTTATGCCCTCTGCTAGAAAATTGTTTTTCAGAGTTAACGTCAAGTCAGCATTGATTTCACACACACACACACACACACACACACACACACCCACACACACACCCACACCCACACCCTGCACACACACCTCAAAAACAAAACCATCCACGTTGTCTTTGGGTTGATTCTGACTCCTCCATTGTGACCCTCCATTGACTTTCTGAGGCTGAAAAATCTTTACTGGAGGAGACTGACTCATCATTTTCCCATGGAGCAGGTGGTGTGTTTGAACCTCCAACTTTTTGGTTAGCTGCCTAATATGCTACACAAGGATTTAATAATAGTTGTTTTTAAACTAGTTACAATTTGTTGAACATTTATTGTATACAAGGTTTTGAATATGTTACAAAATACATATCTTATTATAACAATACATTAGGACATTTCATTGTTTTCCTCATGTTAAAATATGGGAAAGTCAAAGAAAGGATTAGAGTAGTGGAATATTATCCCTAGTCTCAAGACAGGGAGTTCTGGTGGCTTAGTGACAAGTAACTGTGTTACAATCCAAAGGCATGAAATTCAAATCCACCAGCTGCTCCATGGGAGAAAAATGGAAAATCTCCCATGCGATTAACTGCCTCTGAAAAGACACATCAGGGTCAGGTATGGTTCAGTTCTGACTCAATGGTACACAACAACTACAGTCTCAAAACAATGGTAGACCCAGGCATTGCTCGTCGCTGATATTTGTCTGTTGTCATTGTGCCATTAAAAAAAATGCAGTTGTTTTCCCCACTGATAATATCAGTCTTAGGTCAGATTGTGGACTTAGACCCTTATGTAACATACATGACATTACCTGAGAGAAGAAGAGGCAATATCTCATGTGATTTATTGCCTCTGAAAACCTGCTGGAGGTTCAGGTGTGGGTGGGTTCTGTTTCGATGGCACACAATAACAATATACGACATTATATAATCTAGAACCTACTCAGTACTTGGTTCTTTTAGTAGCTCTGCTTGTCACAGTTGAAAAACAATTCTAGTCTTTAACTTGACCTCTGTGCCTGTGGTCCCTCCATTCCAGAATACATTCTTCATTAACACTTGAGGACATGCACTTTTATGAACTGTGAGAACTTTTTAACTCATCTTTCTCCCTCTAAGTGATCTTGGTTGCTAAAAACAAAACAAGAAGTTTCCCCTTTCTGCTGACAGCATGCCACAAGGTTTGGGTTCACCCCTATTTTCCAGGGGTTTGTACACTCTTCTGAACTCTTTTTTTCTTTTTCATTTTGACTCTTTTACATGGCCTGTACCTTTGTCTTGTTACTTTAATATACCTTTTCCACTTATTTTGTTGTTGTTGTTATATGACATCACGTTGACTATGACTCATAATGACCTTATGTACAATAGCTCTGAACCCTACTCTATCCTGAGCCAGTCTCTGACACGCCTACCCTCGTTACCCCAGGTATTGTATAAATCCATCTCATCTTGGGTCTTTCTTTCCTGCACTGTCCCTCAGCCCTTCCTTAAAGACTGGTCCCTCCTGGCTACATGCCCAAAGTGTGTGAGATGGAGTCTCAAAATCCTTGCCTCCAAGGAGCAGCTGGATTTTACCTTTTCCAGGACAGACCTGCTAGTTCTCTTGACAGTCCATGGTATAGTCAATACTCTTCTTCAACAACACAACTCAAAGGCATAAATTATTATGTCATCCTTATTTTGTTGTTGTCATGTGTCATCAAGTCACCCACAACTCGCAGGTACCCTATGTACAATAGCTCTTAACCCTGCCCTATCCTGAGCCAGTCTCACGAACTCTGACACACCTAACCCCATTGCCCCAATTACCATGTCAATCCATCTTATCTGGGGTCTTACTCTCCTGTGCGGTCTCTCCACCCTTCCAAGCATCATGTCCTTCTCCAAGGACCGGTCTCACCTGGCCATAAGCCCAAATTATGTGAGATGGAGATTCCAAATCCCTGCCTCCGAGGAGAAACCTTGTTTCTCTATCTCCAAGACAGACTTGTTTGTTGTCCTGGCAGTCCATGGTGTATGTTCAATAGTTTTCTCCAGCACTACAATCCAAAGACATCAATTCTTCTGTCATCCTTAATCAATCTAAAGTACTCAAGAGCAATGGTGTCTCTCTGGAGACTAAGGTGCGCCTGATACAGGCCATGGCTTTTGCAATCACTTGTTATGCATCAGAGAATTGGACAATGACTAGGGAGGATAGAAGGTGAATTGACGCCTTTGAGCTGTGGTGCTGGAGAAGAGTATTGAATGTACCATGGACTGCCAAGAAAACAAATAGATTCATCCTAGTAAACCAAGCTGCTCCTTGGAGGCAAGGATTCTGGGGCTTCGCCTGACATACTTTGGACATGTTGTAAGGAGAGACAGGTCTTTGGAGAGGGACATCATGCTGGGCAGAGTGGAGGGACAGCGCAGGAGGGGAAGACCCTCTATGAGGTGGATTGATTCAGTGAATGGGGTAATTGGGATGGATGTGTCAGAGGCAGTGAGATTGGCACAGGATAGAGCAGGGTTTAGGGCTGTTGTACATAGGGTCGCTATGAGTTGCAAGCGACTCGACGGCACATAACAACAACAACAACAACCCCCTGATACATAGCAAGTAATTGTGAAGACCATGGCCTGGATCAAACACACCTTAGTCTCTAGACTGACATTGTTGCTCTTTAGCACTTTGTTTTGTTGACTTATTTTGCTAAAAAACAACAACAAAATGTGTTCCCACTTTTCTTCCCTCTTCCTTCTTCATCTGTAGAGTGCACCTATCACTTTCATCAGCCCACACAGAATCCACCACGGTAAAGGGAAACTGGAAAACAACATTGTGAAGGTTACTTGCTATCAGTCAGACCTACTTATCGTTTTCTCAGTTTCTTTCTTTCTCATTTATTATTCTCACAGAGAAGTTAGAGACATGGCAGTGATGATCTGTAGGACATATATGTTTTAAAGAAAATAAGCGAATGGTACTAGGAGGTTCCAGGCTAGGAGTTCTTTTTACTTTTATTTTATATTGGTTTGCTTCGAAAGTTCATATACATTGTGTTTCACACTATCCTTCATCCACATTGTGTTTAATATCATCATTCCCATGCATTGTGTTTTATAAAACAAATCACCTTTGGACTCTGCCCGCTGTTACCCTCAGTCTGGGAGTTCTTTTTTTAAATTATTTTTCTTTCTACTGGGTTGTATACAAAATTTGTACACATTGTGTTTAGTTTCTATACTTGGTTTCACACATTTCTCTATTCATATTGTGGTTCATATGATCATTCCTATATATGGCGTTTTACACAATTAATCACCACTGAGCCACGATTACCCTACCTTTCCAGGTCCTCACTGGATCTTTCCTAATTCCTGCACTCTCTCCTTCTGCCCACTAAACTCTGCAACCTTGTGTTTATTCCCCACTTCCACCTTTCACCATCCTCCACCTTCCCTTTGCCCTTTAGGATTTTTGTACACATCTTACTAGTAATCCTTCTATTTTGTTTGTTTGTTTGTTTGTTTTAGTTTTGGGTTTTGAATTTTATACTTATTTATTTACGAAGTTCAAATACATTGTTTTCCACACAAGATCCTTCCCATTTCCTTAACCCCCCCCCATCAAATGATACAACCCTGTGATTAACACCCAATCCCCCTGCCCGTCCTCACCCCTCTGCTTCCCCCCCCTTGGATCCTCATACTCATTCTACAATAATGGTTTTATACTGTATTTGTCCTTGTGGGAGTGAGTTAGTTCACTCGGCATAACACTCTCCAGTCTCTCCCAAGTTATGTAGTAATTTACAAAATCATTGCTCCTGCATGCTGCATAGTAGTCCATCATGTGAATGTACCACAAACTCTCAATCCATTTGTTTGTGGTTGGACATCTGGGCTGTTTTTGTGATGGTAAATAATGCTGCTATGAACATTGGTGTACAAGTCTCTTTTTGAACCTCAATTCTGATTGGAGTATATTCCAAGCAATGGAACAGCTGGATCATATTGAATTTCTATGTTCAGCTTTTTGAGGCAACACCAAACCGCCTTCCAGAGTGGTTGTACCATTTAAGAGTAGGCTGGGAGTTCTTGATGCTCGTCTGTCCTCACTCTCCCAGGTCCTCACAAGAAATGTTCTAAGATAAACCATGGTCCCGTGTCCCAGTCCAGAGTGAGGATCTGCTCAGTCTAGCGAAACCATAAATGAACATTTAGTATTGTTCCTGTGTTGTACTATAGTGTAGAGTCAGAACCAACCCATAACTGACCCTCTGGCCGGTTTTCAGAGGCAATTAATCACATGGGAGGAGATTACCCATCCTTCTCCTAAAGAGCAGCTGGTGATCTTGACCTACGTACCTTTGGCATTATAACACAGCTTCTTGCCACTAGGCCACCGGAGCTCCTGGTATACCGAAACACAAGACTTGTAACTGTTTGGTTGCAAAATTGGCCTTCAGCAAGCCATACCACTTGGATCTAATATTTAAGTAATAGGTACAATCTTGCTGTGCTGTCTATATGCTGTGTCAAAGCATATATGCTGTGGCTGCCTCCCAGCTGTCCAATGACAACCATGTGTGAACATTCACACCTGGCCCAGGGCCAGGAGCTGGGCTCCATGACCCACTGACACTTACCCTCCTCCTGATCCATCCTGACCCTTCTGATTTGGTTTGTGCAAATCTTACTCAGACAGCTGGACGATGTTAAATGAATTACTGTCTCAAGAACTTAGTGTAAAAACTCATGAAAGGCCATCTCTCAGGCCTCGTGAGATACAATGAGGACCATTATTGAGGAATGAACTGGAAAACTGGCTGTGCCCTCTTCAAGAATAGCTGTAGAGCCCTGAGAAGTCTTACACGTTGTCTTTGAAGTTTGAGGGCGTATTTGCTTTCAGTGAAAGATGTGCCCTCTGATTTCTTGTATTTCTCACAGCTTGCAGCTGTAACCTTGAACGTGCGGATGGCTGTGAGCAGGGCTCTGGCCGCTGTTACTGCAAGCTGAACTACCACGGAGACCACTGTGAGGAGTGTGCCAATGGATATTATGATTTCCCGTCCTGCTTAAGTAAGTATTGGTTATAGAACCTGGGGCCTCCCAGCTTGTTCCAGGGCTGAGCTTTTGTGTATTGACTCTGAGGGCATGAAATGTGGACTACGGTGGAGGAGACAGAAAACGGAGAGAGGAGGTTATATTTACAAGAAAACATTTCTAAAACTTTGGAATACGTAATTTTTAAGTTTTATAGTTGATTCTAAGAGGACTCTGCTGGCTTAGTGGTATGGAGTTGCACTGCTAACCAAAAGGCACGTGGTTTGAATCTGCCAACAAGAAAGTTGGAATCCACCAGCTGCTTCAAGGGGAAAAGATAAACACTGTCCACCTCATGCAATTTACTGCCTCTGAAAACCCACTAGAGAATCAGTCATGAGTTGGCTCTGATTTGATGATACACAACAACCTTTCAGAAGCAGGTCACTGGGTCTGTCGTTCAAAAGGCACCTCTGGATTGGTGAGTAACCGTTTACCCTACTCAAGAAGTCGGAATAAACTATGCTGTCGTTGTGCATCTTTGAGTCGGAACTAAGCCGTAGCTGACTGACCGTCGAGCAGGTTTTCAGAGGCAGTAAATCTCACGGGAGGAGATTGTTCCATTTTTCTTTTGCGGAGCAGCTGGCGGTTTTTGACTGCATACCTTTGTGCTGGCAATGCATGGAGCCATTCCACTCTGCATACAAGGGTCACTGATTCAGAATGGACTTGAGGGCAACTGGCAATAGTATAGTTTTACTTACCTCCAAAGGATAAGCTGTTGACTGTTGTTGTGTGCAGTCGCTTCTGAACCAACCAACCCATAGGAGACCCTCAGAGGTTTTTCAGACGCAGAGGGACCCACTGCTCATCGTTCTCCTGCTGAGCAGCTCGCAGATTTGAACCACTTCCCTTTGGGTTGGCTGCACGTTCCTTACCACTAAAAGGGTCAGGTTATCTTACAAGAAGTATCCTTTCTATAGATCACTAGGATCAAATATCGGAAGCTTTACCTTAATACAAACCCATAAGGAGATTATTCTTTACGGATAGAAGAGCTGCTATGGTCTTCTAACTTTTTGTTTGTATGCGGATAATGTATTGTGTTTCTGGTAGAAGGTGGATGTATTTTTCTCTTTTCTGCTGTATAGTGGGCCATGATGTCATGCAGGCCACAGCTTTGCCCACTGCCATGATCAAAGTAAAAAACTTGACGTGTTAGAGAAAGAAATGTATATATATGATGTGTGTGTATCTGAGCCAGAAGCATGTGCAACATAAAACAAAACACAACACAACACAACAACACAAAACCAGTCAACCCTGGAGCCCTCCTTGATTCTGACCCCTGGTAACCCGTGTGCTCTAGATTAGAGAGGCTGTGTGCTCCCCAAAACTCCTGAGGCTGTGACTTCTCATAAACAGATCATGAGAATGTTCTTCTGAGACATCTGTTGAGTGGGTTCAAATCTCCAGTCTCTCATTAGTAGTCCAATGCTTAAGTCTTTCATTAGTAGTCCAGTGTTTAAGCATTGTGCCACTTGGGACTTTATACATGAAGCAAGAAAGCAAATCGACTAAACAATGTAAATCGCTGTGTTTGAATTAGGGTTCTGTTTGCTCAATAGCAATCTAAACACCCTACATATGTTAAAAGATGGAATATTGGCTCAAGGCGAGACTGGCCCCTTCCTTTGTGCCATGTTAGCCCATCCCCACCCTCCCAGCTCCTTCAGATTAATCACTGGGACAGTTTTTTTAGTTTGAGTGAAGGCATGTGGGGTCTGGACTCATGTGAATCATGAATCACTCATGTGATCAGTTTGTCCCTGCTGTTCCAGGGTGATTGTTAGGACTGTTAGGATAACACCCACTTTCTCTCCCAACACTGTCCTTGTTTGAATGATGACGTATTTGAAGTTATACTTAAAGCAACCGATGTTGTAAGCCTAAACACAGTAACACCAAATGGTGATGTATTCCATGTAGAATCTGTGACTGTTGGATAGGGCTGAGGCAAACACTGGATTTACTTTCCTAAGAGGAAAAAAAAAGAAACTTTAAGGGAAAACATTTTTTCAAACAATTCTCATTTTTGCATTTGAAAATAACAAAGTCGCAAGTGAATTCAAGACTCAGTGAAGTGGGAAGTAGGCTGTGTGTTAGGTTGGGCTTTGTTGTTGATGTTGTGTACCACAGAGTTGGAACCGACCCATAGCTGACCCTCCAGCAGGTTTTCAGAGGCAGTTAACTGCATGGCAGGAGATTGCCCATCCTTCTCCTGCAGAGCATCTGGCGGATTCAGACCATGCGCCTTCGGGATTGCATCACAGCTTCTTGCCACTAGGCCACCAGATCTTCCAGGATTATTGTGAGCACAAAACATCATTTCTGTTCATTAAACAACAGATCAAAACTCCTGATCAAACTGATTTCAGCTATTGGATGCACCTGAAATTGTGCAACGCTACACTTCTTTCATCTAGTCTCTGCCTGCTGCTTTGCAGGAAGTTGGAAAGGGCTTCCTCCTAGTCCAGGGACGCTAGTGTTGCAAAATACTGTTTCATTAATTATTTCCTCTATTTTTAAAGAAATTATTTTCTTTTTACAGAAATGCCCACTTTCCCCATTTCTACTCCCAGTTCTGAAGATCCAGTAGCAGGAGATATAAAAGGTACGTAACTGCTCTTGTAGGAGAACTTGAAAGAAAATTTGGGGCTCAGTCTTCTTATTTCCTCTAAGAACACTGCTGTACTCAAGTTCAAACCCTCTTTCCCAGAGCATGCTGGGAGTGTTTCGAGGCCTCTCAATGGAATTCTTCATCTCCATTATTTTCTACTCCATTCTAGCCACTATAACAGGGAGCTCTGGTGGCATTGTGCATTCTGTGCACGGTCGCTAATGTAAAGGTCAGAGGTTTGACTCTACCAGCCGCCCCATGGGAGAATACGAGCCATCTCCTTCTATAAAGATTTGTTGTCGTTGTTGTATGCCATTGAGTTGGAGCCGACCCATAGCTGACCCTCCAGCAGGTTTTCAGAGGCAGTTAATTGCATGACGGGAGATTGTCCATCCTTTTCCTGTGGAGCAGCTGGTGGACTATGCCTTTGAGATTGCAGCGCCGCGCCTTGCCACTAGGTCACCAGAGCTCCCTAAAAAACTCAGTGGAGGATCCCTGTGAGTTGGAACTGACTTGATGTTAGCGAGTTTGGGTTCATTTTCTTATTTGCAGGACATCTGCTCTTGACCGCTGCCCTAGAATTTTATGATTCCAACTCGCCTACTGGGGCTACAGAAGAAAGAAGAGAGGCCTGGTTCTGTGCTTCCATGAAGGTTACAGTCAAGACTACCCAGTGAGGGGTTCTGTAACACTCGGGGTTGCCATGAGTCTGAATTGACTTGATAGCAGCCATGTTGAAAATGAACAGTTTGGGAAAAGAGAAGAAACAGAGAGACCTGTGAGGAAACCATTACAATAATCCATGAGAAAGAGGGCGGTGGCTTGGACCAGGAGGGTGTGTTTGGAGCTGATGAGGAATGGCCGATGTGGATACGGTCTGTTGTCTAAAGGTAGAACAACAGAGTCTATAGAATCCTGTGCTCTGGTGGGGACCAGGATTGGGGGTCAATGGCTGGATTGGAAGGAGAATGAGAGAGAGAATCCTGGAGAGGCCTCGAGACTGAGCAGACAGAAGGATGAAGGTGCCATTCACTGAGGCAGGAGAGACCTTGAGATAAAGGTAAAGGTCCGTGGGCTAAAGGTTAGGCAGTTTGACATAGGTCAGAGCCTGTGGAAGCTTTTTTCTGGCTGCTGCTTTTCCTCTGTGAACTAAGAAGGTCTGGGGAAGAAAATAAAGGTGGAGAAGAGGTCACTGAGCATCTGGAATGGGGGGGAGGCGACTGTGGGCAGAGGGGTGTGGGCAGCACAGCTGTGGGAGGGCTCACTGAGGTCCATACTGTGAATGTGATTAAGCCACAGTGCTTGGTCTCAGAATTCAAAGTTACACTGTGACTCAGCTCACCTCCCTGTTTCCTCTTCCTCCCTATCCATACTTTGAAAACCTGCTGCAGAGTCGGCTATGAATTGGTTCTGACTCAGTGGCAGTGCACGTGCACACACAGTTCCCCACCCCACCCCACACCAGCCCCCACTGGTGCTGTGTGTGATTGATGTAGAATATTGTCTTATGGTTTCAGCAGACACAGGCGCCTGGGGGATGGAAGCTGTTCTTGACTGGGTTGCAGTCCCCACCCACTGTGCCCCTGTGACATCTTGCCCATGGGGATGCCAGCTATTGTTTTCTTAAGTGTTTCTTAATTGACTAGCATGGAACTAACTTTCAGATCCTTGATTACAACACACATCTCTGGTTTTCTATTTATGGCCTGTTTACAGCACTCCCTTTGTTAGTCAATTACTTTTCCCCTCCAGTAGGCTTAGTGGTGACATCAGGAAAAGAAATTAATTGGCCTCAAAGGGAAGTTCAGAAGTCTTACAAAATACAAAATATTAGCAAAGCCCAAGAACACAGCCTCAAGGAAAAGAAATTTCCTAATTAATGCCATTAGGTTTGTTTGGGGATTGGAATAAAGAGCTTCAACCTAGACTTCTATTAATGGATTTAAAAGTTCGCCCTTTGGGGCATACCTTCTAGCCGTGAATATTAGCAGTACAAACAGCTCAATTGCCAGAGTGGCCTAGTGGGTAAGGAAGTGCACTGCCAACCCAAAAGCAGACAGTCCATATCCTCTGAAAACCTTTTGGAGGTTTAGTTATGAGTCCAAGAATTTTAATGTTTTTAGACACCTATTCAGGGAGCTCATATGTTGTTTCATGAAATTCTTCTGTGTCTTCCAATTC